GCACAGCAAAAACGCATAAAAAAGAAAAAATTTAAATTTCATAAAGAACTGGCATATTCCGAAAACCATTTCTCCGGTACAAAAGTTTGCACCAAATGTGACAGGAGGAATCTTCTGAATATTATCAAACCCAGACTGGAATGCACCAGGCTTGCCAGTGTGTTCATGCGTTTTTGCACCAAAATGAAGTACTTAGATCGTTAAATGCATGAACGGTTGTTGCTTTACATCTATTTTTTGCGCTCACTAGCGTAAATCATCATAAATTTTGCATAAAGGAAATGAACAATTTCTGTTTAAAGGTCGTCCTTTGAAAATAACCTAGCTGTTCAGTGAGCAATTTTTCCAACAAAAATTTTAAATGTTCGTACGCATGTGAGAACCACACATATTTGGAGGTTGAGTGTGAATATTTGAGTTGTACTTGGACAGGGGACATTCCTCTAAAATTTCAGCTTCCTAGCTTTCCTAATCCCCAAGTTGGTAATTTTTTCGCCAAAACTTTCACATGCTCGTACGTGAGTATTATGCGTATCGGAGGGAGGGCGAGGGGGGGAGGGAGGGTGAATTTGAAACCTTTGAGTGATACTTGGGCAGGGAAGATCACCTTAAAATTTCAGTCTTCCAGCTTTTCTAGTTGCCGAGTTAGCAATTTTCCCGACAAAACTTTCACGCACCCGCACATGACAACCAAAAACATCTGGGGACTGGATTTGAAATCTTTGAATCACACGTGCACAGAGAATATCCTGCAAACTTTCAGTCCTCTATCCTTTCTGGTTCCCGAGACCGCTTTCCCGCCAAGGAATCTGCATATTTTTTAAGGCGTCCGTGTGCGGCACCCAAGCGTATAGAACGGTCGCAAATAGCGTAGCAGACACTTCCGAAGTTTTAGCCTTACAGCTTTTTTGCTCGCGAGTTGAAAGTGGGTAATAAAAAGTGCAAACACACAGACACACACACACACACAGCTCTTGCAAATAGGCGTTTTTGCATTTGCACATATGCAGAAACGCATGAAAAGGATAGGACGACACACTCCTATTACTGTTTCTGCACATACGGAAAAGGTGGATGGATTACACCGAATAGTACTCACAAAGCATGAACTGAGCGTCGGCAAGCAGTTAGTGAAATGAAGAGATCCACTTTCAGGGCGAGAAGCTCATAGCCGAGCAGAATCAGAAAGATGTCCACTAACCCGAGTGGTACAAGCAAACCGCGCAAACTAGTGCTTAAGCAAATGTCGTTACTGCAGGTTCTATTTCTGCGAACATACCAGAAGCGTGTGGGCGCGTCTAGATATAGTTAGAGCTCTAATCAGAAGCTTAGAAGCTCCAAATCACTAGATACACTCGCACATCTTCTACAGAGCACCACCGGTGCTTCCCTCTCTGTTCAGGAAATTGTCTCAGTTGCTCTAACACAGTTTTGAAGACATTCCCGCCTCGTATTCCCTTAGATTTGGTAAAATCTTCTAACCTTTGATTTGACTTCCTCTACATACTCTGAAGCCGAAAAGGGAACATCGTATGCACAGTAACTACATAATTTTCAAATTACGATCGGTGCCAAAACAACGCTTCTTCCAGAGCTTTAAGTCAAGAAAACACCTAACCTGACCGTTCCTTAGCGTATCGCTCGCCAGCATAATCTCACATGTCTCGCACGGATTCAACGGTAAATCGATTGAACAAACCCCTTTTCCTCCAGTCAAAATTTCCATTAATAGTTCTGGCGAAAAACCATTAACAGTTTTCCCTGGCTACGTAAATGCTATCGTCTCATACAAACTTTATAACTGCAAGCCGCGATAATGCACAGATGCGAGTAAAAATGGCGTGCAAGCACACTGGAAAGTGTATGCAAGATCTTGCAAAAAGCTCCACCGTCCAAAGCAGCTTTGAATATAATAACTAGGATGCGACCGCAAAATTCATTT